GCCACAGCCACGCGAGCTGTCATTGACTCAGTGCTAAAATAGGGAATTTTGGAGCAAGAAGTCGTCCGAGAATGGTTATTAATTTCTTTCGATGGAGTTTCTTAAGAGAAGGCACAAAAAGCTGATAATTGCTCCTTGATCGTTCTTGCAATTTACAAACTTCTCGAAAGGTCCGAAAGGCTTTATAAGTGGGAAGACTGATTTCCAGTGTACGTCAACGGACAGGTCGTGACTCAGTTTAAGACGATTAAAACACATCGAGGGAAAACGACGCATAAAAGCAAAAGAGTATTTCTTAATTGGACTTCATGCTTGAAACAAAACATTTTACAGGCGTTTAAGGTAAAGGTTACCGTTGTAAAAGTGATCTGGTGCCTAACAAGATTTCACGATTTCACGAGCCTGCATGCTGTAAAGCATGCAGTGCTATTTGACCGTCTGGCGTGGTGAGAATTTAAATTCCGTACCCTAACAATTTTGGCACTGCGTTCAGTCAAAATAAAGTAAATCCAGTCGATCGCTGGGCAATTATAACTCAGCTTTTTTGGCAAGTAATAACATGGCTCGCAAAAAGAAGTAAAAATGGCATTTCCGAAGCCTACAAAGTTCTTCTTGTAATGATTGAGATGTTTGATTCGCGCGTCACATGTGACCCAGTTTGTTCGTTTGAGGGTGTCTCGAAACTTCAGACCTCGACCTCGAAACTTCAGACCCCTTGAAAAGTGATTGAGAACTATGTTTCAACGCAGTTCAAAAAAGAAAAGTGATCGAGATTTATGTTTTAACGCAGTGAATGAATATTAACTGCCTATCTGCACTAGCCACAAATTTTCTGTCATCACCGACACTGTATAAGTGCGAATGGTTTCTCGCGACGTGACAGTTCTTCCAAGCCGACAAATTTTCCGACGCGCCGCCAACAAAATTTGTCCCGTTGGCAAAATCGACTAAATAAGCAAAATCATGATAAACTTGTCCATCATTTTTCGTAAACGCTAACACCCGTGTGGTAATTGAACTGATTTCAGTTTACCAAATGATTGCAGTGACTATCTTTCGTTGCCAAACTCGCGAAGTTTACAATTTCAGACAAATTAAGATGAATCCTGGTAACTGGAGTTTGAATCTATACAAAATTTAAAGGGGTCTGAAGTTTCGATATGTTGAAACTTCAGACCTCCAAACTTCAGACTCCTTGAAAATTGAATGAGATATATGTTTTAACGCAGTGAATGAATATTTAGGGCCTCTCCGCATTAGCGACAAATTTTCTGTTATCACCAACACTGTATAAGTGTGAATGGTTTCTGGCCACTTGAAATATCGGATCTAGATTATAAGATATTTCCAAGGGGTTCATAGTATAGTTCTCACTGGTTTAGGAGTATAACTGTTAAAGAAGATTAAAGAAAACAAGTGTACAAAAACGTATTATTCTGGTACTTAGCATGTAGGATATTGATTGTTGCACTGTCCGGGGAGTTAATGTTTTCCTTTTTTCAGATATTACACGCAAGAAAGTGAAAATTTTTCCATTGTTCTTGTCGTTCTCGTTTTTGTTTTGAACAAAAATATAGGAAACCTTTTACCTAGCTGTCTCCAATTATCAACGCGGGATTGTTGCGTGACTTGTCACTTAGGGTTAGTCACAATAGTTAGCGTAAATAAACATTCATGTATTTACGCTACTTGAACTGTATTTACAATCTCAATCTTTTTTCAAGGGGTCTAAGGTTTCGAGGTCTGAAGTTTAAACTTCAGACCCCTTTAAATTTTGTATAGATTCAAACTCCAGTTACCAGGATTCATCTTAATTTGTCTGAAATTGTAAACTTTGCGAGTTTTGCAATGGAAGACAATCACTGCAATCATTTGGTAAACTGAAATCAGTTCAATTACTCCACGGATGTTAGCATTTACGAAAATTGATCGACAAGTTTATCACGGTTTTGTTTATTTAGTCGATTTTGCCAAGGTTTACGCAGGACAAATTGTGTTGGCAGCGCATCTGAAAATTTGTCGGTTTCAAAGAACTGTCAAGTCGTGAGAAACCATGCATTGGCACTTTAATATACAGTGTCGGTGATCACAGAAAATTTGTCGCTAGTGCGGATAGGTGGTTAATATTCATTCAGTGCGTTTATTAAAACATAAATCTCAATCACTTTTCTTTTTTGAACTGCATTGATCGTTGAAACAGAAATTTCAATCACTTTTCAAGGGGTCTGAAGTTTCAAGGTCTGAAGTTTCGAGACACCCCTAGAACATGGCCGCACTATTGTTGTAAGCGTTCGTCAGCAAGATGAACAAGGGACTTTCCTACGTAAGAAGAACCTCAAATGTTTTCTAACGTAAAATTCTTAATCGTAGAATGACTGTTAATTATTGATAGAGAAATAGCATAAGAATATCAAAATAAACTAATATTAATTAGGAAAATATTATTATATATTAGACTTACCATGAAAAATTTAACTGGTCATCGAGAGCTTTCAATCGGTATGCAATAGCATATGAATTAAGTTGACTCGATAACCCAATATCTACAGCAGGTATTAGATGCATCATGCTCAGCAAGGTCTAGCTGCCTAGTTTCCAAGACCAGTTGTGTAATTGTCTCAAACTTTTGCAATTACTCATAGAAGTCCCTTATTTTGCAGATTGTTTTAAAAATGTACATTGTATGATAAAACGATTATTGAATTACGTTTTCACATGATTTGATGAATTGCCAAACCTTGTGTCTGTGTTATCTGCCTTACCCTATGGTTTTGGCTGGCAACTTAGACCTTGGTTTTGATAAACCCAACCTCGTCCAATAATTTCTTATAGTAAGGATATACACATGTGCTATACAGTAATGTGGAAGGTGCCTTTCTTGTGCACTGACGGCAGGCTAAATCAGAATTGATTGCCAAGTACCATTTACCTCCGAACAGTCAAGAGACAGAACTGCATGTCAAGTGGGTCATTCCTGACCATGTTTTGGTAAACTAAATTTTTGTTTTGGTGTGGTTTCTACTAATTAAAAACAATTTTGTACTCCAGTGCAAGTGACATTAGTGGGCATTAATACCTCATCCCTTCGCAGATTGGTTCATATCCTCCACTATTAACTCTACTTTGGTGAATAATTATCAATAACTATATTCCGTATTATTAATATTATCAAATCTTGAGGAAACCCTGACGGACAGAGATGAAAGCCAAAAGAAGAGGGCCGGGTTGTTCAAAAGTCGGTTAAGAAAACCAAGGGTTCATGTGAAATTTAATCACAGATCTGAAGGCTTTGAAATAATTTGATGACTGAGTACTCTAAAAGGAATAGGGAAAATTATCCTAAAACAGCTTTTGAATAGAGAAATATAGAAACCTGGATTACAATTTAACCCTGGGTTAGCACTTATCGGTCTTTGAACACCTGAGCCCAGAATGTTATTTATTTGATGGTTCTA